TGTGTGTGTGTGTGTGTGTGTGTGTGTGTGTGTGTGTGTGTGTGTGTGTGTGTGTGTGTGTGTGTGTGTGTGTGTGTGTGTGTGCGTGTGAGTGTACGTATGTGCGTATGTATAATATTCTTCTATGTCAACCGTAGGTAAAAACTAATCATTAAAAGGAAATAGGAATTTCATAACAAATAAGAGACCCTCAGGCGCAGTGAACAACCGAAATAAACGCCTACGAAAGGGCAGGCAAGGGAGAAGCGAATATATGCAAAAATGTTAATGGGTTATCGAGGCAGAAGAACAAGGGGCAGAGGGCCGGGCGCGGAGGATCACGTCAGGGAGAGAGATCGCATGTCAGGCGTATGATAAACGCGACAGAAATCCTGTAAATAAAGGAAATTTATGTATCATTGTTGCACACCGGACGTCACACAAACACGATCTTTCTTATATACACACATACGCACAGGCACATGCACGCAAGCAAACACGCAAGTACACATGCATACACACACACACGCGCACGCACGATCACTCACTCACTCGCTCACTCTCTCACACACACACACACACACACACACACACACACACACACACACACACACACACACACACACACACACACACACACACACACACACACACCGCAATCCATTACTGCGAACGGAGGCTAATTAACCAGAGGGAAATAAAGACAGAGACTAAACCGCTCTAAGATGGGAGGGAATGAAAGGCCGACGAGGAAAATAACATAATAAAGAAAAAGAGAATGAGAGAGAAGCACAGAAACATGGCATTTAAATCTCGACATGAAGGGAAAATGAGATAGAGAGAAAGAGAAAAAATATCCGGGCGCCTGATCCTCCCGAGGCGAGTGTGCTGTTCAATCAAGAGTAATGCGGTCATGCGAGATGTCATGTCAGAGTGTCGTAAGGCCCATCACGGCTTGTCAATACAGCGGTAGATGACCCTTATCCACCGCACGCTCGCCTTCATTCGAGCCGCAGCCATTATGTCGGCGTATCATAGTGCTATGCGCCGAACATGCTTCTGTGTGTGACGTGTGGCAGGCATTACCGTGATGCTGTGACGTGTGTGTTGACGGAGGGAATATAGTATGATATAGGATGGGAAATATGGTGTAGTAGCGTTTGGAGTACAGTGCAGTGGCGGAGAGGATATTGTGCAGCGCTGTGAAGGATATGGTGGCGTAGAAGCATATGAGGTGAAGTGTCGCGGCGAAGAAATGGTGTAGTGATCCACATACGGCGTGGTGGCAAAGAGGATATTGTGTTATGATGTGTGTGAGACCGGGCGGCGACAGAGAGGAAATTATGTAATGACGTGAGGGATATAACTGTGGTGGCGAGGAGGATATTGTGTAATGATGTGCGGGGTATAGTGCGGTGCCAAAGAAAAAAAGTCTATAGTCATGCAGTGTATTGACGTGAAAGTTGGTCCGCCTGGTTAATATTGGTGTTATGTGTGGTAGAGCAGCAATATAAAACAAATACCATTACATGAAAATCATTACGGGACAAATAGGTCGACAAATATTACATATTAAGTGCCCGGCTGCACGATGAGGGGCATTGCCAAAAAAATCAAAATAATCATAAAGCATTAATCAATCAACGTACTCCACTCAGTCCACGGCCGGAATGACACCATAATCAGCTCGGTAATGATATGATTAGGTATAAAGTATGGGTCCGTGGGGTGGGAGTGGGGGTGGGAGTGGGTCAGATTTAGGGGAGTGGTTCTCAGCGCCGGTCCATGAGCCCCTCGGGAGCTCGGGAGGACTCGGAGTGGGAGGACGTGACTACAACGTGGTTTTCTTTTTCTTCTCTTTCGTGAATACCTTTTAATTTCACTTAATCTGACTTTTCTCCTTCTTAAAGTTTATCCGTAACTTTACTTCGTTCGAGTCACACAATCGACAGGTAAAGTAAAGCAGCAAGAGAATACATGATCGCTTTGAGCAAATGCCATTCCCGTTCGGTCGGAAACGGCAACGGCGACAGCCTCGCCTTGTTTGGCTTCCGTCTGAGGAGGAGAAAAGTCATTCTGTGACTTCACTTCCGATGTTTTCATCTTCATCTTTTCAACATAAATGCCTCTATCCAGTGCATGCACAAAAGCAAACAAAGGAACCGAAACACAATACAAACACACTTCAAACTTGTAATTGATTTGGTTCCCAATAAACTACGGTCTTAATTAGTTCCTTTCGCCCCGAGGCGGGGAGGAAGGCAACTTAATGACCTGTTTTGGCCTCCAATAACTTCCAATTCTTACCGAGAAGTAGTAGTTAACCAAGAACTCGGTGACAGAGAAGCAAAGTTTAACGGCTGATAACAAATCAGCTGTTGCCTCCAACTTCCTCATCTTAGCTTTTAATGACGTAATTAGCAGGGTTCAGTGTTGCAAGTTAGAGTACGGGTAGCTACTTCTACGCACTTCGGGATTTCAACGACAAATACAAGAATCACTTACGGAGTATCGTGGTCACAGGTGACAAACATGCACGGAGATATGTGACGGCATGTATAGAGCTGCGTTATACCTTGGTAACCTGTTGTATAACCTGCAGTGGTATGTTGTAATACTTGGTGACGTAGGGGCTGTCTGGTGCATTGTGTGACATGCTAGAATCCTGTTACACTTACTTGGCTGTGGAGGAAGTGGTAACACGGCGAGAAATTGTTACTAACGAGCGTGCTTTGATGTGTAGTGATGGTAAGTGGTAACACGTAGAACAGCGTAATGATATGAAAACTCCCGGTGAATTACGGCCCTGCGAGGTGACGTGAGGAGGAACGATCAATGGACAAGGAGTTTGCGAGGAGGACCTGTAATCAGCGCTAAGGTCCAATTGAGCACAAGGAACGGAGCCAACGTCAACCTTACGAACGGGACACGCCTGAACCCTTGGGTAACATACTGTGTCAAGACGGCCTCCTGCACGTGACTTATGGCCCGACGCAGACATGGAGAGTCACACACCAACACGCACTCGCAGTCAAATTAGTGTTCTCTCTCTCTCTCTCTCTCTCTCTCTCTCTCTCTCTCTCTCTCTCTCTCTCTCTTTCTCTCTCTCTCCTCTAAATCGCTAACAAGCACACGCAAGCACACAAACAAATAAACAAATAACTACACCCCCAAACTATTTTCTACGTTCTTGTTTCTGGCTCACAACCTCCACTTCTAACCGAGGATGGAAAGAAGAAAAAAAATCGAAGCAACTACACCCTTCTGTTGCAATAATTTCCCGCTAATGACCTCGGGAGATTCCTCAAAGCAATTTAAGGCAACAACTTACAATTTCTCTCGACAACTCACTCGCTCTCGCGAAATTATGGCGGACGGATCTTTGCCTAACTTTGTCGGCTTGATATGCTGCTCGCCCATCTAACAATTAACTCGCTTTCCACTCGCCCTCTGCTTTTTCTCCAGGGGGGGGGGGGGCGAGTGCAAGGAAAGCAGGAGAGGCAACTTGGGACCCTCAGGGCTAGTCCGTCACCTTCGCTTAAAGTTATACATTAAAGCAATATACACAGATAGATACATATGTACAGTGATTGAGCGCGAAAGAGAAAGAGAGAAGGAGGGAGGAGGGATGGAGAGAGGGAGGGAGGGAGGGGAGGGAGGGAGGGAGGGAGGGAGGGAGGGAGGGAGGGAGGGAGGGAGGGAGGGAGGGAGGGGAGGGAAGGAGGGAGGAAGAGAGAGAGAGAGAGAGAGAGAGAGAGAGAGAGAGAGAGAGAGAGAGAGAGAGAGAGAGAGAGAGAGAGAGAGAGAGAGAGAGCATATGAAGGCTTCTCTTCCGCTCAAAGGAGCAAACAAAAGAAAGGCGTCATTAACTTCAACGGGAAACCAAAGCAAATGGAAAATCAAATAAAAAACAGAAAAAAAACAAAGCCTCTTAACCACATCCCATGAAAATAAAGAGTAGCGACTTTTCGTTCCAAAATACAAAACACGTATTATTCCATCCAAAAAAAAAGAAAGAAAAAGTGTTCAACATGAATGTGCTTATTCATCATCAAAATAAAAACAATGACGCGGGATCATTATTCCATGCAGTCGCGTTGACCTCTTGCGAAATCCCGGCGACATTTTCGATGCTAATAAAAAAAATCGTCGCAAAAATGTGCAAAGTGGCCGAGGTAATTATTTGCCAATCATCATATCAATGGCGAGAAAAAACGAAAAATGTGTGAGTGTAGGTGTGTATTCGCCTGTGCGTGCGGTTATTGGTATTCATTTGCATTATTGGGTGTAATTAAACATATACTTATATGTATTCATACATGCATACATACATACATTGAGAGAGAGAGAGAGAGAGAGAGAGAGAGAGAGAGAGAGAGAGAGAGAGAGAGAGAGAGAGAGAGAGAGAGAGAGAGAGAGAGATCGTGTGTGTGAGTGTGTGTGTGTGTATGTGTGTGTGTGTGTGTGTATGTGTGTGTATGTGTGTATGTGTGTATGTGTGTGTGTGTGTGTGTGTGTGTGTGTGTGTGTGTGTGTGTGTGTGTGTGTGTGTGTGTGTGTGTGTGTGTGGGTGTGTTTGTATGTGTGTGTATGTTTATGTTAGTGAGTGAAAGCGAGTGAGCGAATGAATGTCGGCGAGTGAGTGAGTGAGTGAGAGAGAGAGAGAGAGAGAGAGAGAGAGAGAGAGAGAGAGAGAGAGAGAGAGAGAGAGAGAGAGAGAGAGAGAGAGAGAGAGAGAGAGAGACAGAGAGAGAGAGAGAGAGAGAGAGAGAGAGAGAGAGAGAGAGAGAGAGAGAGAGAGAGAGAGAGAGAGAGAGAGAGAGAGAGAGAGAGAGAGAGAGAGAGAGAGACAGAGAGAGAGAGACAGAGAGAGAGAGAGAGAGAAAGAAAAAGAGAGAGAGACTGCAAGCGTGATCCGAACATGCCCTTGCGAAAGCGTGTGTTTGCGTGGGACCAAACAGCCTCGCAACAAGCCATGCATATGCAATAGGCAATTCAACATTTCAGCAGCAAGTACGTAC